ATTATAGGAATAAATTCTTATAAAGTTTATTTAATAAATCAGACAACCACATAAGAAAATAACATATTACTGTGATAAATCAAAATTTTTAACAGTTAAATGAAAAAACTAAAATAGTTCAAAATAGCCAATAATTACTATTTTCTGCTAGGCAAAAAATGTCTTATTTTGTTTTGGATACTACTATCTCCGTTTCAAAATAAGTGTCATTCTAAAATTTTATTTTTGTTTTACAAAGGTGTTACTTTACATTTTCAATGCATAATTTTGAATAAATATCCAGTTTTAACCTTTGATTTTTATTGTTTTAATTAGAAAGAGAATATTATTTTGTGTGTGAATAAATGGTAAAACATAACTTGTAATATTTTTTTTTTAATTTGTGTGAAAAGTGTCAAAGTAACACTTATTTTGAAACAAAGAGAGTATGTTTTTGATTGCTATGGAGTTAAAGTTTTTTTATAAATAATAAGTTGATTTTAAATATAACTTGAAGGATTGTAGATTATTTTTAAGTTATAAAATATTGCATTAAAATTCTGAAAATGACAAGAATTTTGAAAAACAAAGAAATTAACATAAAGCGACACTTTGTTTTTGTCAAGAGTATGGAATATTTAATTTATTTTACTAACTATACACACCACTTTTCAATTCAATTGTTTGTTGACGTGTGATTTTCAGTCGAATTAATTTTAGTTGTTATCAACATGCTAAAAATTAATATCAATACAACAAAAACACAAATGTCTCTCCTGATCAAGACATCTCAGCATTTTAGAGTTTTCTTAGGATGACACTTCAGCAAATCAATTCACCAATGAAAATATTTCATTAATACAACTCATTAAAAAAAACCATCCAAAATCAACACATTAGATAGCCTTAGATAGCCCACACACTAATGCTATTTTCAATACACGTTAAATAGCCCAACCCAATTTCGATGTTATTCGCCAACCCAATTTCGATGAGCAGAAGAGGGAAAAGGAGAGAGAAGAGGAGAAAGAGAGGAAGTTTGTGGTTCACATTTTGCAGAAAATACAATTTGACTATTTTGGCGAAAAATTGAATTTTTCAGTTTTGTTAGAAAAACATGATTTCTCGGTTCGACGAGAAAACAATTTTTCTTGGCTATAGCGAGAATGAGGAATTTCTCAGTTTTGATGGAAATATGGGATTTATTGGTTTCGGTAGGAAAATATGATTTTCAGTTTTGGTAGGAAAACACAAATTCTTGGTTATGGCAGAAAAAGTGAATCCTCGGGTTTAGCGAGAAAATGTGAATTTTCGGTTTTAGTGAGAAAACAATTTTTTTTTTTTACAAGAAAACAGAATATCGGTTTTGATGGAAAATGCAACTTTTCAATTTTGACGAGAAAATGCGATTTCTCGGTTTTGATATGAAATGCAAATTTTTGGCTTTTGACGGATAATGTGATTTCTTGGTTTTAGTGAGAAAAAATGTGATTTCTTAGTTTTTGCGGGAAATTGTAATTTGACGAATTTGGCGGAAAATGCAATTTTTTGATTTGATGGGAAAACAAAATTTCTCGGTTTTGACAGAAATATGTAATTTTCGGTTTTGATGAGAAATGCAAATTTTCAGTTTTTGACGAATAATGCAATTTTTTGGTATTCGCGGGAAACTGCTATTTCTTAGTTTTTGCGGAAAAACGCAATTTCTTGAGAAATAATGCAATTTTGGTTTTCGCAGAAAATTGTAGTGTATTTGGTTTTGGTAGGAAAGTGTGATTCTTAGTTTGACAAGAAAATGATTTTAATTTGCGGGAATAGATAATTTCTCGGTTTTTGCAGGAAAATGATTTTTGGGTTTTGCACGAAGATGAAATTTTTTTTTTTTGTAAACTTTTGACTTTTGACGGATAATACGATTTTTTTGGTTTTCGCGGAAAGATGTGATTTCTTAGTTTTCAAGGGAAATTGTAATATGAAGATTTTGGTGGAAAATGCAAATTCTCAATTTGTTGGGAAAATAAAATTTTTCGGTTTTGGCAGAAATAAGCAATTTCTCGGTTTTGATGATAATGCAAATTTTCAGTTTTTGACGAAAAATGCGATTTTTTTGTTTTTGCGGGAAACTACCATTTCTTAATTTTCGCGGGAAAACACAATTTCTCCAGAGATAATGCAATTATGGTTTTCGCGGGAAATTGTAGTATCAATTTTAGTAGGAAAGTGCGATTCTTGGTTTGACGAGAAAATAATTTTTTGGTTTTGGCGGAAATAGATGATTTCTCGGTTTTTGCAGAAAAATAAATTTTTCGGTTTTGACGAAAAATACGTTTTTGGGTTTTGCAGGTAGATGATTTTTTTTTTTTTTTTTGGTGAAAAACGTAATTTCTTGGTTTTGGTAAGAAAACACAGGTTTTCGCATAAAAATGTGATTTGTTGGTTTTTGCGGGAAAATACAATTCTTTTGTTTTGGTGGGAAAATAAAATTTTAGGTTTGACGAAAAAATGTTTTTCTTTTTGTTTTAGCGAAAATATGCAATTTCTCAGTTTTCATGGAAAAATGAAGTTTTTGGTTTTGACGGGAAATGAGATTTCTTGATTTTTATAAGAAAATAAAATTTCTCTATGCTAAAATGCTAAGTTACAATATGTTTACAGTTATCAAAATTACATTATTTATCTTTAACTAAATCGATATTTTAACAGTTCAAATATAATTTTCTATTTAGTTCTAAAGCAATAGCAATGGTTCTGATATGAATGTTATTAATTATAGTTTGATGATTTTAAAAACATATGTTTATAATAAATAGTTGATAAATAAATAAATTTTATAATTCAAAATAATCATATTCATTAATAAAAATTTTTAAATGACATTTTGCTTTATATAATTTCAAAGGATGATCAAGTGGCAATTTATGAGAGAAAATTGATACATTTAAAGTTAGTTAGCTAAACAAATTTGATAGAAAATTATAATTTTGAAAAAAAAAAGGATTGTACAATGTTTATTCAGATTTAAACATATAAATACATAACTTAAGCTAATAACAAAATAAATATAATATTAATTATATTATAAAAATAATGCTGGAAAAAATATTATAAAAATAATTTTATTATTTTAAAAATATATATAAAATTTGAAAAAATATCCTGCAGCGTTACGCAGGTAAATACCTAGTTTTATCGTTAAAAGTAAAATTGTAAATGACACAAAAGATTTATTTATGCGATTGTACATAATTTTTTGTAATTTGTATTTATAACAATCTTCTTTATCTTTACTCAATAAATAACATTTAAAAATTAAAGCATCGATCACCAAAAAACTACACTAATTAATAAGTCATGACAACAATAGCCTATTGTATTAGAAGTTCTAGGACTAATTGGTAGTACTCTCAAATACATTTCTTTTCCGGTTTCCGTACTTTTATATAACAAATCATATTTCTACTAACGGTGGATCGGACAAAAAAAGAGTGAAAACTATACATATTTCGACTAATCCAGGATGGTCAGGATCTCTTTCTATTAATTTTTTTTTTGGACTTATGATAATTATGCTAGATATTTACCTGCACTATGCTGCGGGATATTTTTTTAATTTTGTATATATTTTTAATATAATAAAATTATTTTTATAATGTAAATAAATATTATATTTATTTTTTATTAGTTTAAGTTATGTATTTATATGTTTTAAATCTGAATAAACATTATATATATATATATATATTTTTTTTTTCAAAATTATAATTTATTATTAAATTTAGTTAGCTAACTAATTATAAATGTATATATAGGAATAAAATATATAAGAAGAAAGCAATACATTTTTAGTACCATCATGTTAATGGCAAATGTAATCTATTTTCTTAAATAAATTGCCACATGATACTTTTTTGTTATTATATAAAGAAAAATGTCATTTAAAAAAAGATTTATTAATTAATATAATTATTTTGAATTATAAAATTTATTTATTTATTAAATATTTTATTATAAACATATGTTTCTAAAATTACCAAAGTATAATCAATAACATTCATATCAAAACCATTGCTATTGCTTTAGAACTAAATAGAAAATTATGTTTGAATTCTTAAAATATCGTTTTAGTTAAAGTTAAATAATTAAATTTTGGTTACTATAAACATACTTCAACTTGGAAATTTAGCACAGAGAAATTTCATCTTCTTACAAAAATCGAAAAATCGCATTTTCTGTCAAAACAAAAAAAAAAACTATATTTTCCCATTAAACTGAGAAATCGGCTATTCTCCCCAAAACTAAAAAATTCATTTTCTCGTCAAACATAAAAACTAAAATTTTATTTTCCCGCGAAAACCGAAAATTGCATTATCCCCCGTGAAATTGTGTTTTCCCCCAACAACTAAGAAATTGTTATGTTTTTATCGGTTCAATTTTTTGCTGATGTGTGAGCTTCTTATAACATAAGGTTTTTTACGTTGTTGTCATGGAAGCATAGTTGATGCTGAGCCTACACTTTTTCAATCATATACGTCTATGTCAAACAAACTTATAGCTAGAATTTTTTTTTATTATTTATTTGTTATTTATTATTAGATTTGGTTTTGGCAAAAAAAAAGAAAACAGTGATTTATTTTCTTTTTATTTGTTTTTATTTATTATTTAGGTTTGGATTTAGCAAAAAATAAAATAATAATTTTTTATTTGCTGTTATTAATTATTTGGGCTTGAGTTTGATAAAAAATAAAACAAAAATTTGAGTTTTTAATGGATTTAAGTTTAAAAATTAAAATAAGTAGATGAGATGTATTAATAAAATGTTTTGATTGGTGATTATTTTTGCTGATGTATCATGTTTATAAAGCTTAAAAAAGCTGAGGTGTCAAGCCATGGAGAAACTTTAGTGTTATTATTGTGTACTTTTGACACTAAATAACATGCATGTTCATTGGTTTACTTGTACTTTAAGTAAAGTTTTGGATTGGGTTATAACAACTTTTCAGTATGTATAATTTATATACATATTCCTCGCCTCCATCACCAACTACTACTTTAAGCAACTGAAGAACATGAAGCTGTGTGTCTCTTGAAACTCCCATACTACTTAGATATATGTATCTTTTCATGTTTTCATAAATATATTTGTCCTTTACTAATGCCCATCTGCAACAACAACAACAAAAACACTTGTGAGTTGTTGTTATAACCCAATCCAAAGCTTTACTTAAAGTACAAGTAATCACCCGAATCTTGAGCCAGCATGACCTGTAGCCTTGGAAAGACTAAACAAGCTCAAGTCTTCATCAACTTGATGTGTAGTAGGTAAAAAATGAGGCCAATAATACGCACAATCATGAATTGTTTTCACGTTAGGTCCATCAAGAACCGCTCTTTTCAACTTCCCATCTGGATTACTCGGAGATGTCACTACTTCTATAACTTGTGTGATATTATCATTCCCCTTGCTCTTCTTCCATGCAGACGCATCTCCTTCAAACTTAACATTTGAAGAATTAAAGAACTCTGCATGCTCCTTGTATGTCTGCACACAACAGACTGATCAAAATCACACCAATAAGTTTCTTTACAAAAATCCATATCAGAACTTCCTTACAGCGTAATATGGAACAGAAGCCAAGAGTCTTGCAGGTGATGATGATGAGTTTGTCAAAGACAAGGCGTGAACAGAGGCTGCAATCAATTGCGTAGCTCCCGTTCCGAAGATTATGAATCTTTTATCCGTTACTGCGTTTCCAACTACATTATGTAGCTTCCTGATGATCTTTTCTAGCTCTGCAGACACATATGAGCCATCTTTGTGAAAAAGACAACTCATCCTGTGCCATCCTGACTCAAGAACCGCACTTCCCTCAGCGTTTTGCATCCAGAATGGCTCTAAGAACAAAGGGTCTCCTCTTGAGAACCCAACAAAACAAAACAAGAAAAATATAAACTCAATCTAAAGCTTTAAAAACAATAGCTTAGTCATAAAGAATGTTAGGATATCAATATAACTCCCACATTCTAAGTTTAGACAATAAGGTTTAATATATAAATAAACTGTCCAACTCTAATTAAAATAATACAAAAATAAACTGTAATTTTTTTTGGCGGGAGTAGAAATTTTAATATTTGTTTTGTGTAGTATATTAAAAAGCCAAATAGATCAGACTCGTGGATAGCTGGTTGAATGGGTTACCTGTTGCGGATGTGCTGGTCAGGCATACATACCTGCAAATTTCATCATCTTCTTCGTCTTCAATTAATCTTTCTTAATTTATCCAGTTATTTAGCCTCTAAATTCTCGAAGACTTTTTTATATAAAACAAATATTTGAACTAAAATAAATTAAACATAAAAAATTATTTGAACTTAAATATATTCCAACTTCTCTTTGTATATTTGTTTAACTTATGTTTCGTGTGGACAACAAAAATAGGCTTTTTAGTTAAACATTGTTAGATTAATGTTACTTTGGATTATATAGTGATAAAAATAATTCTCATAATTTTTATACAATTTGATGATACAATTAATGTTGCTTTGGATTATATTACGGAACAACAATCACAAGAAGAATGTTAAAAGTAGATAATCATACTTCGGTTAACAAAACGCGGTATGCTCTAACTTCTCTTTGTATATTTGTTTAGCTTGTGTTTTGTGTGGACAACAAAAATGGGTTCTTTAGTAACAATTAATGTTACTTTAGATTATATAGTTGGTGCATGTGATGAAGATATAATTTTTATATAATTTAACGTGTACAAATATGTGCATGTAATAAAAAAATATAACATATGTTTTGTGCATGTAATAAAAAACGATGGTTTACAATTTATATTAGTAATTAAATATTTTTTTTTCAGTTTTTATAAAATAATTATTTGAACTAAAATAAATTAAATACATAAATTTTCTTTTGCCATGTCATAATCCACATGTGTTAGCAAATGTCATGTCACAATTACATTATCATTACACATCATCATTTTCATGTCACAATTAATTAAATTAGATTGATATTTTTAACCAATGAAATGAAAACAAATCAGCATATTTCATTAAACTATATTGTTAATTAATAGGTAGAAGATTTATTATATTTCGAACAAAAGAAAGTGAAACCACAAGTTCACCAAAAATACTAATAAAGTTTTTTCAAACAAAAAAATATACAAATGGGAAAGTTTTTCTTCCAAAGATCACGGTGTAAGTAATGGAAACTCTTTCTAATGTTGTTAGAACATGCCCGAGTAGTTATGAACTCCGAAAAAATGATATTAAATTGGTCCATGTACTTTGATATACCTTTGCAATAAGAGAAAAGTCTTAGTAGGACGTAGAGATGTCAACGGGCCGGCCCGCGTCCATACGGGCTTGTTTACGGCGGGCTCCAATTTTTTTGTGTCCATGCGGGTCGGCCCGCTGCGGATTGCGAACAACTAATCTTAAGCCCAAGCCCGCCCCGCCCTTATTTAACGGACTTGCAAGCTGGCTCGCGGGCTATGTTATATTTTTGAAAAACAATTTAAAAACCTGCAAAACTAATCCTAAAACCTGTAAAAATCAATCGTAAAACCTAGATATATGAGATCAAAAGTTGTTTTACATATTTCAGTGTTATACAAACCTCCAAAGAAGAGATACAAAATTGTAAACATCAAATTGTCCTTACAAACGAAAGGAAGTGATAAATGGCAATAATAACATGTGTGTTCGTATTAGAGTATATTGTGTTCTCGTTAACATGAACATGCAGAAAGAGATAAAAAGTTTTTGAAAATAAAGGTGGAGCATCTCACTGCCACTTTTAAAGCAAATGGACTATTTAAAAACCTGCAACTTGATGGAAATAAAAGAACTTGCAACATTAACTGATGTACAAACAATATTAGGAAAACCTCCATATCCAAGAGGTAAAGGCTAATCTTTACTTACTCTAACCAAAGTTCATGCAAAGTCTAACATACAAGCAGCAAGCTCATACGCTGCCTTCATTCCTGATCGATAAGAATTTTAATGTCAAGACAATGCAAGAATTTTAATAAGACAATGCAAGAATTTTAATGTAACTGAAGGTTTTGAAAATTAACATCAAAGTAAAACTCATGAGTTATGATTAAGCGACAACTTTCAATCTCCCACAACTAACTCATCGAAGTCAATTTCAAACAAGATGAATTTTTCATAGTTAACGCTAGCAAATAGAAGATGCAGGAAAATGCCAAGTTACAGAAAGAATCACTCAACACTATTATTTTCTCATAGTCAACAATATATCCTTAGAAGTGTATTTTTCTTCAGTTCTTCTTTTCTCACATATGCTAGAAATAATTCTAGCAACTACGAAAATGGCTTCACAATGTCGCCATTCCTCCCATTCTCCAAATCATATCAGCGTTTCTTTCATCTATTGAATCATAATCACTGGTCGAGATTTAGGCGGTTAACAACTTTTTCGATCAGATCTCTGATACCTTTAAACATAATTTATTTGCTTTCAAAAACTTAATACACTTTCAAATATTCATTCATAAGTATACAATAATTTGATTAAAATATACTCATTCTTTTGATAATCAATTAAAATTTAGTGCACTCTCTCTTTGTCAAAGTATAAAAAATTATTTAATTTCAATATATAGAAAACATAATTTTCTGGATTTTTTTATTTTTTCTCATATCTTTGCTTTAAACATGTAAACATTAACATTATCATACCTAAACATTAGTCACACTTATATGTATATATCAAACCTTCAAACTTCACACTATATTTAGATATAGTTTTATTAATAAGCCATAGGACAGATATGATACAGGAGTAACACCCAAATACAAAGGCCCAAAATATTAAAGTATTAAACGCAAGCCTAAATACAACTTAAACTACATTTGCTGTTACGGTAATTGGATATCTCATCCGTCTTTAGCATCAGGGACAAAGCTTTACCACTTTAAAGTTTCAACTTTCAGAAAATTCATCATCACAATGCGATTGCAGATATTTTTCAAACTCTTTCGAGAACCACCATCCTGAATAGATACATGGTTAAAAAATCCTTCTTCCCCACAAAGTTAAAATCTTAGAAATGAAATCGTAAGTTTGATGAGATAACAATATTAATTGATTCATTAGAATTTTAGGTTTGTTTGCCAATAAACGTTATTAATTAGTTAGGTTAATTAGATAATTTCTAGAATAATTGAGGAAGATGGACGAAGAAGATGATGATAGGGAAAAGGAGAAAGAAGATGTCGATAATATAAAATGTGCTTCAGTTTGTTCTTTTTTAAAAAATAAAATAAAAAATAAAAATTATAAAACAACACGTAGTACATTATTAAAAATGGTGTGTTTTAATTTTTGTCATCGATATAAAGAGGGTTAATTTTGCAGTTATCCCAAAATAATAATATTGGGCTTCAATTTCTATGTAATGTCCATATTAGGTCTTATTAATGAAAATTTTTGATGATAAAAAGAAAAAAATTTGCCTATGTGTTAAAATATTGAGATGAAGTGTATTAATGAAATGTTTTTATTGGTTCAGTATTTTGTTGATGTGTCAGTTTCTAATAACACAAAAAAGCTGAGTTGTCAACACATGGAGAGACTTATGTGTTATTGTTGTAAAAATTGTTGCCAAACCCAAATAATAAATAACAACAAATAATAAAATTAAATCTTTGTTTTATATTTTTGCCAAACCGAAACTCAAATAATAAAAAACAGCAAAAAAATTAAAATTTCTACCTATGTGTTTGCTTGATAGATACGTATATGATTAAAGAAAGTGTAGACTCATCATCAACTATGCTTCCATAACAACAATGCAAAAAGCGTTATGTTATAAGAAGCTCACACATCAGCAAAAATTTTAACCAATAAAAACATAACAATAATACATATTATTAACACACTAATAAAATTAATTTACTATTTTGCTGACCCATTAAAAAGCCCAAAGTTTTCAAAAAAAAATGGAAGGCGAAAGCAAATGAAGAGAAACTCAGACCACCACAGCTTAAAGATTCACATTTCCACTGGTTACCGAGAACAAATTTCCTTGGGTTTGCCAGAAATAGAGAATTTATTGGTTTTGGTAGAAAAATGTGATTTTCAGTTTTGGTAGGAAAACATAGTTTCTCAGTTATGGCAGAAAAAAGCAAATTCTCGGGTTTGGCGGAAAAATGTGAATTTTTGGTTTTGGTGAGAAATAAAAAATTTGATTTTGACGAGAAAATGCGAGGAAAATACAACTTTTTAATTTTGACGAAAAATACAATTTCTCGGTTTAGATAGAAAATGCAATTCGGCTTTTGATGGATAATGTAATTTCTTGATTTTTGCGGAAAATTGTAATTTGACAATTTTGGCAGAAAATGCAATTTTTCGGGTTGATAGAAAAGCAAAATTTCTCAATTTTGGCGGGAATAAACAATTTCTTGGTTTTGATGGGAAATGCAAATTTTCAGTTTTTGATATATAATTTGATTTTTTGGTTTTCGAGGGAAAATATAAGTTCTTAGTTTTTGCGGGATATAATTCTAAATTTTCTTTATTTTAAATATAAAAAATATTTTTATAATATAAATAAATATTATTTTGTATTTAGCATAATTTTTATATTTGTGTAATGAAAAAATATTTACGGGAAAATATATTTGTGGCTCAGATCAATAATTCATCATATACAAGATGCAAGCAGAATAAAAACAAAAAAAGAGCCAACAAAAGTGTTTGAAGATAATGCTACTGAAGTTCACCAATCTAGGTATGTACCCGCACTAAGTTGGCAGGATATTTTTTAAAAATTTATATATATTTTTAATATAATAAAGCTATTTCATAATGTAAATAAATATCATATTTATTTTTTATTATCTTAAGTTATGTATTTATATGTTTTAAATCTGAATATGCATTGTATATCTTTAATTTTATTATTTTTCAAAATTATAATATGCTATCAAATTTGTTTAATTAATTAACTATAAATGTATAAGTAAGAATAAATTAATATATTTTTAAGTACATTTATGCTAATGACAAATATAATTTATTTTCTATACTAAATTGCAGCTTGATCCTTCCTTAAAATTTAACTTTAAAAAAAAGTTTATTAAATGAAAAAAAAATCAAAAATTGTATTTTCCTGTTAAACAAAAAAAAAATCATTTTCCAAGAAATCGCAGATTCCTATCAAAACTAAGAAATTTCAATTTCTTGTCAAACCAGAAATCATGTTTTCCTACCAAAACCGAGAAATTACATTATCCTGCGAAAAAATTATGTTTCTTGCAAAAACTAAAAAATCCCTTTATCCGTCAAATACAGAAAATTTGCATTTCCCATCAAAACCGAGAAATCGCATTTTTCCGTCAAAATTGAAAAGTTGTATTTTTTTATCGAAACCGAAAAATCACATTTTCTAGTCAAAACCAATATATTTTATTTTCCCTTCAAAATCATTTTTTTTTTGTTTTTCCACAAAAACCAAAAATCACATTTTCCTACCAAACCCGAGATCTCGCATTTTCCCATCATAATTGAGAATTTCTGTTTTTCCACCAAAACTGAAAATCATAGTTTTCCGCCAAAACCGAGAAAACCCCAATTCATGCCAAAATCAAGAAATCTCATATTCTCGTCAAAACCGAGAAATTTTGTTTTCTTGTTGAACCGATAAATCATGTTTTTATGACAAACTAAGAAATTACAATTTTCTGCCAAAATCGTAAAATTGCATTTTTCTGCAAAAACTATAAAACTGTATTTTCTTGCGAAAACCAATAAATTGCATTATCCATCAAAAACAGAAAAACTACATTGCCCATAAAAACCGAGAATTCGCATTTCTTGTCAAAACTGAGATATTTTGTTTTCCCATCATATTATATTTATTTTATAGATGAGTATTATATTTGTTTTTTTAGTTTAAGTTATGTATTTATATATTTTAAATCTGAATAAACATTTTATATCCTTAATTTTTTTATTTTTCAGAATTATAATTTACTATCAAATTTGTTTAGCTAACTAACTATAAATGTATATGTAAGAATAAAACAATACATTTTTAAGTACATTCATGCTAATAGTAAATGTAATTTATTTTCTCCACTAAATTACCACTTGATCCTCCTTTGTAATTATATAAAGCAAAATGCCATTTTAAAACAAAATTATTAATTAATATAATTATTTTGAATTTTAAAATATATTTATAATTCTCATACTGTACTATATGCAATCAAGATTAGAGAATGGATTCATGCACATCATCTTTTAATATTAACCGAACAGATGGTTAAAATCAATATTCTAGTCCTCATGTACTAATCACTAATACAGCGTATATGAATAATGGTTGGGAAGAGGAAAATGAACGAATTAAACATTAATGATATTAAATAGCTTGTATTATCAAAACAATAAAATGAGTTAAGAATAGTTTTTTAACCCAGATGAATTGAAAATATTTTTTAGATAAATTGTGGGCTTACTTATAGATTTCAATCTTGGTTAGTTTTTTTTTAAATGAGCTGTATTAATAAAATATTTTTATTGGTTGATTTTTTTGCTGAGATGTCATGTTGAGAAAGTCTGAAAAAACTTAGGTGTCATAACTTGGAGAGACTTATGGGTTATTGTTGAAAACCGAGAATTACATTGCCCATCAAAAACAGAAAAATTACATTGCCCATCAAAACCGAGAATTCGCATTTCTTGTCAAAACTGAGATATTTTGTTTTCCCATCATATTATATTTATTTTATAGATGAGTATTATATTTGTTTTTTTAGTTTAAGTTATGTATTTATATATTTTAAATCTGAATAAACATTTTATATCCTTAATTTTTTATTTTTCAGAATTATAATTTACTATCAAATTTGTTTAGCTAACTAACTATAAATGTATATGTAAGAATAAAACAATACATTTTTAAGTACATTCATGCTAATGGCAAATGTAATTTATTTTCTCCACTAA